ATGTCATAGATACGAACAATGCACTTTGGGCCTCGATCTGGTACGACCGAGCAAAACTCGCAATGGCTTCTGGAATCCGCCCCCTAGTGAAAGGCAGTGCATGTCTGCGACTGTTTATAGCATTCTGCAGATTGTGTTGAGCCTGCGCTTCTGTGCTTCCCCAAGACCACGCAATGCTGATGCAGTCAACGGGCTGTCGTCACCACAAGTGACCTGAATCACATGACAAAGCTTGAGTTCTTTGCAGCACGACAGCACGGAAGGCGGCCTCAAACAAAGCGACGTTCTCTTCTTCACGGATGATGGCTTCATCCTCGCCCAGTGACGCTGGCGGCACGGAATCTGAGATCACACATGATACGATACAGATAGCATAACTTCACCGTCGCGGGAGAAGAGCTGCCTCTCCCACACAGCTGTCGTGTTGGAGCTAACGTATGCCTATGCCACTGCTAGAGATTATGCTGTTCCGCAACAGCTGCATGTTGCTTGCAGCTCCTTTGAGATCGTCACGTTTGCATGTGCGCCTTCTGACTGCTTCATTTGGATAGAAGAAGAGCAACATGCCCCCCAAAACAAAAACATGCCACTGCCTGCGCACCCGGCGCACCTCCATTTCCTGTCTTTTCATTTCGTCAGTCTCCTCCGGCTCAGGATGACTGCCCAATGAATGACAAAGCCCGTGCAAGAAGGCGTGTTGACAGCTTGACGTTCCTGGCTTTGGTATTTTTGCCGCCTTCGGAAGGACGAGCCCGCATGGCAGGGTTAGGCTTCACATGACCTGCCGAACTTTCATGAGCAGAACTATGTTGGATCCAACCGGGCTCGGGCTTGCCAAGAGGGCCCTCTCTCGGAACGTTCGAGCCTCACCAAGTGTTTCCAAATCAGGGATTGCCCGGTGGCCGAAGATCCAAACAAAAGCAAAGGCTGAAATGCTAACAACCTTCTATAATGATTCACAAAACCCGCGCTTTAACTTTATGCTCGACGTTCTCTCATTTCGACAATCGACTCCCATAGAACTTCAGCAGCTCCTGCTAAACAGGGTTGTCTCCTGCATGGCCAGCTTGAGCAGGATCTTTGCAATGGACATTCCGGCTTTGGCAACCAGTGAAGAGGGCCTAAGTCACAACACCAATGTAACTCAGAAAGTCAACTGCGACGATGCTCCCTGGGCTGCTGCTTGCCGCCTGCCCGCTGCCGAAAAAGATCCTATGTCTGGACCAAGGCAGAAGCCCAAGCACACGATTCCCCGAATCAAATGGCCTGTGATTGCCTCACGGAGGAAAGGGCCTGCAAGAGCCGTGCGCTGTTTTTGCGGGGCCGGTGCCCTGTCTGCAGGTCCTGTTCAAACCGGCCCAAGCGGTCCTCGATCAAGCCAAGACCGAGCAGGATGCCTGCCACGAGAGATTCAGAGCACCATAGCCTGTTCTTGCCTACCCGATTACCGAGCCCAAAACTGATCTATTTGACCAGCTGTGCTTCACGAGGCTACTGACTCAGAAACGTCTGCTGACTTGCTCAATACTGGATTGCTCTGAATTTGTATGCAGCAGCCTCTGAGATTGAGGGCTTACTAAGTGTTCGGAATCCACTAGAGGCTCCCCCGCCGCTCCCCCAAAGCTTTTCCTGGAAAGCTGACCAACAGTCAGAGCAGGGGCGATGAAAGCAACTGCCGAGATGAATGCATCTGATGTGTGGATCCTTACGGCGCACAGCTCATCGTTTCATGATTTTCATGCCCTGCACACCACCCTCCTGCACAAGAAAGCACGATTTGAGAACATGCTCTACCTCGCACTGGGGGCTCTAGAGCCCCCAGTCGTTCTCCATGGCCGAGGGCCGATTCTGGAGCCACAGCCACTTGCATCGACTCAGCGTCTTACACAGAGACTGCAGATCCTTCCTTCCATGCGCTGTGCCGCAACATCGTTAGGAGACATCGCCGAATCTGGGTGTTTTGTGGACTATGGTTGTCGTGACAGCCCTTCCTTGCTCTCCTAGGCTTGCACAAACTGGAGTTTTCCCGACCACTGCCGCTACGTGAAATGTGCTGCAATGGCAAATGCCAAAGACAAAGAGTTCGCCTGCTCGGTCGCCTGTCTTCTTGCCCATCTCCTCCTCTTTGTCCAAGCACAGCAAAGCTCGCGTGAAGTATTCCGACGCCTGTCGGAGCTGAGTGATCAAACTGGCAGAAAAACCTCCAATTTGCCTTGTCAAAGTTGCCCATGGAGCTGTACGTGTGGCCCATGTTCTCGCACAAGGCTGCACTGCAGCCTACGAGATCCTCGCACAGCAAACCCTGCTGCTTCGGTGCATCCTTTAACCAGATGTTACAGGATGGAGAGAAAGAACAAGGTAAAGCTAGGTCGATGAGCATGCCAGTCAGATTCTGGGGAGAAAGATGGGCGGCGGGCAGAATCTGCCTAGATGAAACCTCAAGGGACGATAAGGAGCGGAAGGGGTCTACCTATGAGTGAAGCCCGAGTGTCATTCAGGGAGGGATTTGAACAGAATAGTCTGTGGCAAATTCAGTTTAACGCTCTTTGCACCATCAGTCTCTTCGCACTGCTTCGTGTGCTTTGCAGTTTGTGCACCATCTGAAAGATGTCCTCAATTTCGTGAAAGAGCTTGACTGCGTCGTTGAACTGCGACTTCTTCCACAAGGTGAACGCCAAAGCCTGTGCAACAACTAGCGCTTGAATCATGCAGTTCTGACACATCGCAGCCAAATTCTGCAAGGAACTGACGGCACACATCTTTACTGAAGTCAGCCCAACCATGCCGGAAGTGCCTGAACACCTTTCACGTGAAAGTCGCCTGTGCTGGTGCATCGCTCATCGCAGAATCACAGCTCCTGAGCCTAGGCAGCTTCAATGCCTGAGTTGCACGGATCAGCACAAACGGGGGGAAGCCTCCTCTGCTGCGGCATATGGGCACAATTTCCGGAAGCACCTGGTCTCCAAGATCTGAAGCCAGTCACCCTTTGTGGACAGCCGAGCACGGCTTTCTGCAGGTGGTTCGCCCAAGTCAGTTCTCCAAACATGCCTATGGCTTGCGGCTTTCGGGAGGCTAAGTGAGAGAAAGAAGGCAATTAAAGGGTGCGACATGTGCCACCCATGGAATGCCACCGTGAATAGAGAGAGCGAAGAGACACGGGCTGTGTGCAAGCGTCGAAAACCACAAGAAATCTCACGCGCAGCAGGTGCTCGGTAGTATTTTGCTGGCGGTCACGACAGCCATTGTACTTGCCCGCAACGGCTACTGTAGAGATTGGATGCATGTCCTCCTGCAGATGCCGCGTCGCCCTGCTCTCAGAAGTGCAAGCCCCCATGTCCACTTGAAGCAGCCGATCACACTGCATTCCCTCAGAAAGGGCGGGCGGGGGCATATAGACGAGATTGGGGGGTTTCTCAACAAAAGAAGTGGCCCATAATTGGGGGGCTGGGAGTGGGGGTTAGAACCCTCAGTATGGATTGTAACCAGCCCCCAGTGTGGCCCAATCTCACAGCTTGCCTCCATGCACTTGTTGAGCCGGTAGAGCTGGATCCACATGTCGAACAACTGCACACTTATCGGTCAGTGCAGCTTCACAAAATTCCGCACAACAGTCGAGCTTGTGCGAATTTGTGGATTCCTTGAAGAAAGTGTGCAAGGTCGTCTCATTGTCCAGCCCATGCTCAACTCTCTGCTCCTGGAGCTCATGAATTTCACAGGATGTGCAAATGCACTGCATTCAGTGCTCTGTCCGCGAAGAGCTTCTCGAGTCTAGCCTCCTCCTTGAAACTCGGACGGACTTGGGAAGAAATGCTAAAGCTAGTAGCAGGCCTTGACTTGCAATTCGGCAAGTTCTTCGAGGGGTGCATCGCCAGCGTCGCCTTTATCCTGGCAGATCGACTGATGGAGCTGTCCGACTGTATCGAGCTGATGTTTAATGTTTATGTTTGGCCAACACCCGCAGAGCACGACATCACGCGCCTGAGCGTCAAGCACTATCGAGAGGCTGGGTAGTAATGATCGGGGATAACGGATATGAGGCCATGTGCTAAGTAATATGATTTCTAGCCAAGTCGACGTAACGTGCCATTCTACCCTCCTGAGCTCCAACACTCATCCGTCTGGCCTGTACAACGTCATCCGGCTGCGACATGGCCGGAGTTATCTTCCTTTTTCCTGCGTGCCGCTGTCATGCTGCCCCTGCCGAAGCCTTGCTGTTTGCCCCGATTGGCTGACCTGACTTGCTCACCCCCGTCAACTTGCAATTGCAAAGCCTTCCATTCGGGCCAATCCCCAGATTCACACAATGAGTCGCGTGCAGCACTTGTACCAGCCAGCCACGCAGCACTGAGCGGCCAAGTTTTCTGTTCACGCATCTTGAGCGACCACAAACCTCTCGACACATCTGAGCCGCAACCGATTTCTCGTAAATTGGGGCATGCTTCTCCCTGTTGGAAACCGAGTCCACTGAACCGTGCATAGTGGCAGAACCGAGGTACGTGCTGCCCAGTCCGGGGACACCTAAAACCGTGAAAAGTTTGCCGTTCTTGCGGGGTAGACTCTGAAGATCGCTGAATCAGACACTGAAGCACATAGGGCAATAATGGGAGAGGCATCCTTCGTCGGGAAGCGAGGTTACCCAGCAGCTGACCATTGGGTCTTCCAGAATGGGTTGGGGGCCATATGGTCGGCCTTAACACCTTTGCAAGCACCGCTGGGGTACCCAACAACTGGAGCATTAATAAGATTGAATACTACTTGCAATTAATCAGCTCTGCGGCAAAATTCAGTATGCCAATGAACGATCGCCCGTCCTATGAGTCTGTAGAAATTTGATGCTGGGGAAGAGCTGCTAGCAATTACGCGTCCCACAGTCCCTGTCGTCCACCCGCTTACAACTAGTAACCCAGTGGCTGCAGATCAGCCTAACCTGTGATGAAGGCGGCTTCGCCGCCCTTCATCTTCATGGCTGCTTCGCAGACCGTATTGTGAGACCTACATCCCTACCTACCCTCAAACAGTCGTCGTTTGAGCTGCGCATTCCTGAGTAGACCGGCAAGCATAGACGCAGGTCATCATCAAAAGATGCACGAAGGAATGTTGCCTAATCTGCAGGGCTCCCGAGGATATCTCGTGATATCTCTACCCTTGGCTTGAATGCCAATTACGTGGGCCAACAGTCTGGCTTCAGCGAGAATTTTCTGCGAACTGCTTTGCTGGAAACAGTAAGTTACGCAGTGCTGCTGTACTTTTACCGACAGGGGTTCCAAGGATGCAAGCACAAATCAACTCTTGTCGTTAGCAGCCTGTCATAGCCTGTCTGGAGATGACAGCTCACTTCTATGGCGAAGACGGTGTTTCCGAAAGGAAACGCCCCGTGATGGCCCCGCAACAGGGGAAATTGCTCAGTGCACGGCTTGCTGACGATCTGGCCTTGGAACTGCTCCCTCGGAGTACGAAGCTCCTTCGTGCCGAGCGGTGGCACTCTCAAATTGCGGCTGCACATGTATTTCCCCAGCGGCCTCCTCCCCCAGAATGCTTGTCGCGCCCGGGAAGTAAAACTCCTGACAACACGAAACGGCACTTCATCCATCCGAAGAATACCGCTCCAAGCACAGAAGCATCATTGCACATGCAGTTTTTGCAAACTGCGTGGCAATCTCCAAACAGGTTCAGCTGTCGGTTGACATGAGGATCTCAAGGCAAACAAGAGAACCCTGATAGTTACTGCTAGTTCAGACAAGTTTTTAAGTACATGAACAAAATTGACCAAAAAACAGTTTGCCATGCTTCTCGAAGCCCCTACTGGAAGTGGCCCCAGGTTGAAACTTTCTGCAAAAGGGGCAATCCTTTGAGAACCCGTTGCCATCTGCTTGACAGTCCTGGTGCTGAGTTGCGCGACAGGTATTGTGAGTAGCCTTCCTCCCGTCAGATGTCGGGGTGCCGTTTCCCATAGCCACACCCCAACCTGCCCCGAGACAGTCAGGAGTTTTCCTGACTGCGTTGTCGTGGGATCCGGAACATGATTCGAGCTGCATTCCTTCATGAATGGAGGATAATGGAGCGGCATCCTGGCATCCTCTCCTACGCCCCAGTCCTGAACCCGCAAGATCCGAGACCCTTACGTCGCAATGGGGTCAAGAGGTCAGGAGACGATCTATTGAACCTTAAACATGCATGCAGAAATTGTAGCCAGTTCTCGAGGCCACCGCTCCAAACCTCTATGACTCTATGTATGTCATGTCATTGGGATTAGAGGCCGAAGAGTAGACTTCGTCCTCAAGCGATCTCGGATGTCTGCACTTTCTGAAGCTGGACGGCGTGTGACAGCGGCAAAGCAATGGTTTATTGAAACTCATACGGCAAAGCCCACGCTGTGGCGAGAACTCGATGTTGGTAGAAAATCTGCAGAGCGCCACAGAAGGAGCTACGGAAGAAACTGCCTGGCGCACACCGGGGATGCCAGGTGCAGCCAGTAGATCCCGCGACTCTGAATGTAAGATTCCGAGGGACTACACAGGGAAGGATGATCTTGTGCTTGATCTTCCCCATGATTCCGGGAGGCTTTCTGTCTAAGTCCTTATAATTGCTGAAATTCAGGGGCTGAGATGCCATCACTGCCATCCGATCCTGATCTTTGCTCGACTGCGGAAGGAGTCCGTGCCCCATCGTGGCGCCTAGGCGGAAGCTAATCAACTCAATCAGAGCTGCACTTTGACTTACAACCCAAAAGCCCATTAAAAAGAAGGCTCAAGCAGCTTACGACACAGAACACACATCCATTCTCTCTGGAAGGAACGCGAGGGTGTGATGTCAACTAGTCCTGAGAACGGTTGAGAAACACGCTACTTGGCTCTACATCGAAGCAAGACACCAAGAACAGTTGCGAGCGAGGAAGAGCAATCAGTGACGCACTGCAGCATCAGCTCTGGACCAAGTGGTGGCTGTGGCGGGCAGTGGGGGAAGCGCGAGCCAGCGTTGATGCGGAGCTGTCATCGGATGCAATGCAGCAAGTCGATTGCTTACAAGCAGATGGCTGGTCGTTAGCACTTGTCCAGATTATCGTTGGTGACTGTTTCGTTTACGTAGGCACCATGTGCCCGAGACACGCACGTCGTCAAACTACAAAGGTGTCACGCAGCAGCCCGAAGCTTAAGCGTCACGTGAGCCATAAAAAGCATGTCGCTCACCGATTCGAGACCGCACAGGTATTGTATGGTGATGTCAATGGTTCGTTGCATCTGCATTGCAGACATTACACTGCGCTCATTGCATACACTGGAGCCAAATCAATACCTCGCGATTTCCCAAGTTCAACCGAACAATACCCCAGACGGTGTGTCAGGCCAAGTGGTGTCGGTGCTGCCCGTTCTCGGGCACTTAGAGAGTATCCCAAAGCATCTCGCTTCGGCTGAACCTGCCAGCTTCAGATTGATCTTTCCGGCAGGGGTGAGTGCATCTGGAAACAGGTGAGTGCACTAAAGGTGTCTTAGGCCAGCACACGTTTCCTGATTGACGGAGCCCTTGTCCGAGCATTTCGAATCTATGCGGCACAAAACAGAAGTCAGATATCTGAGAGCTTTGCGAAGGCTCCAGGGGTCGTGGTGGCGGTGCCTTCGGGGCAGTTGGCGCCTTCACCTTCACAGGCACCATGCGCAACTCATCGTGAGAGCGGAGGGTCAAAAGATGTGCTAGAAACATGAAAACATCCTGTCAAGTGCTGCCGTGCAGCCAAATCGGATCCACCTTCAGACCGCGCATTTTTGGCAGCATCAGGACCTCAAACTGATATACGGAGTGAAGTTTAAGCTCGTTCACATTAACAGCTTCTGTGGTTCGAGCTCGGTGCATCAGCAGCCTCCGTCACGCGCTAGGTTTGCACAGCAGCATCTCAAAGGGCCATCCCTCGCATGCAAACGACCCCATACGAGCCCTGTGCAGTTGCCTGCGCGACAGGAAGTGCAGCAGCACCGGAGGCAGAATTCCTGGAATGTCTGCAGACGCCGCGTCATGCTGGACTACAGACATGTCTCCGCACACCAAGGGGTTTGCGACTCTTGCACTGTTGATGGCTGTGTGGGCGGGGTTTTGTCAGGCATGGCACCTGAGCACAGATCACGCTTTGCTGCTCGTCTTGGCACGAACGGCTCAGCCATACTCACAAAGTATGCGCACCTGTCTTGCTGGGTGGTACTCTTTGGATGCCTTCCTGCAGACACACGAGTGTTGACAGCCTTGAGTCCTTGAAGACAGCGACTCTGCTTGCACTTGCTTGGCCTCGTATTCTTTCCGGGACATGGTTCCCGGATCAATCTTTATCTTGCGAGCAAATGCGAGAAACGGGAAAGGGCAACGCTCCTATACAACGACATTTCGTCGCGATTCGCAAGAGCCTTCTCCCCACGCTTGGTCTTGTTTCTCTCTTCGAGTTCCACGCCAGGTGACATCACCATTGCCTCGCGCAGGGCAAGTGAGCGAGGCATGGTTAGCATCCCCAACCCAGCCCATTTGAAGCAGCTCGGCATGCACCAAAAGCAGATCCATCGCCTCCATCATGGATGGCTGCTGCGACAGGAACTTCTTGAAGCCATCTTTGAACTCAGAGGAATCTCTCCTGGCATGCCGTCACACTTCGCGAAACACCTTGAGTATATCCCTGCTGTTGCACCTTTTGCCCTTTGTGCTTCTGTCACCTAAAACCGGCTGCATGACCGCAGCAAGGCGGTGTGTGTGCAGCCGTACTCCGTGAGGCTGCTCAGGCTCTAACGGGCACGATGTGCTCTCTTCTCCTCAGGCTGCCGAGTTTCTTGGGAGTGCTCCTCCTCCTTCAGGCGTAGCTTTGCTGGCTGCACGGACTTGGCATGCATAGTGAAGTCGCGGTCTCTGTTTCAACTCAGCACAAAGAACATGTATCGTGTATCCTTGCAAACGAACGTCATGGCAGGACATGGGTTTGGCAACCGATTCAGCTGCGGAGGCTGGACCTGAGCTGCAGGCTTGGTCTCACGTTGAGTCCGTCACAAGATTCGGCCAAAGGCACTGCGATCATGTTCCCTTCGGAGTCGTAGGTAAACTGCCTCTTCTTGTCATCCTGGCAGCCAAGCATTCGATGCATGCTGGATTTAGGCGCAACTTGAAAGGGTACCAGTAGCAGTAATTGCCTTGGTAAATGATATTTTGCACTGCGTCCTCCCTGCGGGAAAGTTTCCAGTGCTTTCGCAAACTTCAGACATGATCAACAAATCGCTGCAAAGCGAAGTAGTTCGTTTACACGTTGCATTGCATGCGCATCTCTCTCTCGCTCTCTGCATGTGTGTGTGTGTGCGCACGTCAACCCGAAGCACCATGGAACTACACAGAGGCATCGGGGCAGCTTGCAGTGGATGCCCAAACGAGAAGACTGCAAGCTACCCTGAGGCACGGAGGTCTGGGCGTCGACTCACACAGCGGCTGTGCTGTCTGTCGATATTTTGATTTTTCGTCTTGTTCCAGTGCCTCAATCTCGACTTCAGAAACCGTTTGGTCACGGACCATTTTGTAAGACCACATGATGACGACAGCATAAAGGCATCCTACTGTGCTTGTCTTTATTGGCTTCGTTTTCCGTTTTCGGTGTACTTTGTGTTCGCCCGTCGTCTTCAAAACCCTCGAACGGTATGCGGACAATGTGCCGGAGCAATGGCACAGCAAAAACCCTGCAAGCAGGCACTCCCTTTTGCAAGGTGGATCGGTGTGGCTGCCGACTCCCTGGAGCAAATCCCCTCGGTCGAAGGATCCATCCAAAACTTCTCTCATGGGGTCCGGTCCCTCAGGGCCCTAGGCACCTGTGGTCCCGGACCGCCAAGCTGACGCAACCAAAATTTTCTGTGCCGTCCCACAAAAAGCAAGAGGCTGGCGGCCCTTACTACAAGGTGCCGCCAGCAACTTGCAGTGCTCTTGTGGTCTGGTAGACGTCAAGGACCCTCTCCACAGCCGGCCCGGCGGCCGGGTCCACTCCTCCGTCTTGAGCTTGCTAAACAATTCTTCCAACTCCGCCTGGGTGAGCTGCTGGGCCAAGTCGGCCGATCTCTTGCCAATGCCCCAGAAGCCAGAAGGGAAACACTCGATCAAACAACTTCTCCTCCTGATTGCCCGAGGGCAGGGCAGGCTCGACGCAGGGACAAAGTCATCGGGGTAGGCATGTCCTCACCAGCAGCATGGCTAGCCTCCACCATGTGGATGTCCGAAAGGTCCACTGCAGCAGTTGCCTCACCACCCTCAGCGACAAAGTCACCTGCGGCGGGCTCGGCTGCCACCGCCACAACATGCGGGTTCGTCATGGGCTCGTCGGCCGGCTGCTCCTTGATCACCACCGGCTCTTCCCCCTTCATCACAAGCTTGGTCATGGTTTGGTCCAGCTGCAGGAGCCGTGTGTAAAGAGCACAATCGCGAAGGAAGTCAGTCAGGGTGCAGTTCACAACTTCATCGGTGTGTGCCTCCAGGTTGTGAACAAGAGTCACGGGCAAGCTCCACCTCATCCGTCACATGCTCCCACTTCTTGTCACTGTCTACCTCCAGGACAGCCAAGCTCTCAACCGTCTCCATGCTGGAGGCCATCGCATCTGCAGCAGCCGCAGCAGAGGACATGATCAAAGGTCGCAAGGGAAAGAAAGCAAGAGCGAGAAGTAAAATCTTGAAGGCCCCACGGCCCACACACTTGAGCCAAAATGACAGGAGCCATTTTGGCAGATGTCTCCTGACATAAGTCTTGCAACTCGGCAAGCTCCTGCACGTAACTATCAACAACTTCAACAACTCTACAATGTTGCTGTCAAAGGCTGTTGCACACCAGACTCATTCTGCAAGTTGCTCCGACCATGCGCAGCAGGTGCGCAGCAACTGAGGCAACTAATTTAATCCTGCGAAACGGAGGACTGGCCCGCCATGTTTTTTTTTGTTGCCAATGGATCGGTCAGTTTGCGTATGACATGTCAGACAACACGTGATGCGGCATTCACGTCCACACTCCACGGACTCTTACGTGCATGTATGCGCCTTTGGGCCACAGCGTGAGCAGCTGCGGGATACTTACCATATCTTAGCATTCAGCTTTGTGGCGCGCATGTTCCTTGTGGGGCAATGCCTGGCACAGCCAGGCAGGGAGCCTTCATGCCTACGGATCAGTCATCTGCAATCCAGTATGCTATTCCGGGTGTCTAGTATACTTAACTCCTCCATCATCGCCGTATGGCTATGCGCGGCTGGCAGAAGGGCCCAAGGAGCAGCCTTAATCCAAACAAAGCTCTAGGAGGAAGCAGGAAGACGACTTCTTCAGTGTCCGACTGCTACCGAGACATGCTCCACTCCTGCTTGTCAAGGTATGGGTGCAGCACCTGACACAACTTGGCCAGCGTCATTTTCTCTATTTGGGGTTTTCTTCTTGCCTTATATAAACCCTAAACTCTAGACTTCCTAAACTCTACGCGGCCCTACACCCCACGAAGGGGACTTCTGACGGCCTTACCGGGCCTGGCGCGGAACCGGGCGTGCAGCTGATCAACGCCATGTGCCTCATATCCCGCTGGCGACCCCTGTGATCAACGTTTGGGGAGCCCCTGCGTCATCCTTCCGGATGCTAGACGCTCACATCTGGCATGTTTGTGACAGATGTGAGCCTTGCGCCAGGACATCAGCTCCAGGCAAAGCCCAGAGTGTGCTGATTAATGCCGTTTTGTCAGCTGCCCTGGCCGAGACCCTCGCCTCAAGCCGCCAGCCGCCAGCGAGTCTCCTGACAATATGGCCAGCTCCCAGTCTAACAGCCATGGAGCCGCAGATGGAAGTGGAGTTGGAACCAACTCAGGAGGCCGACCAGCTGACGAACACGCAGTTGGGGAACTTGCATGCGTGTGCGTGTGCGTGTGCACGCGACGGACCTTGTTTCTAAAGGTTTCTCGTGAACAAGGCGGCTGGACATATGAAAGTCGTCGCCGACCAAAGGAAAAGGGCCATTCCATCTTCTGGTGCGGCGAGGGGCGCTTCACTGTGTACCTGCAAAACATGTCATGGAGCGGATTGCCGCGCTGCCTGCGCTAGGGGTCGCCAGCAGCCTGCGCAATAACATCAGGATGTAGACAAGCTCTACGATCATGGTCAAGTAAGGGGCCCGGAGCACCTGCTCCTGACTGTTTGTGGCTTAACTTGGATTGCAGGTACACCTTTCACTGCATCAGCACGCACCATGAACCCCTTGGTTGGGTATATTATAGCGACCACTGCACATGTCCAGCCCTCCTGCCTGCTCACCTTTACAAACAACGTGCCTCTCAAACAAGTTCTGCATGAATTTACGCGAAATCTGGATAGGGCGCCATGATGTCTTCAACCTGGTCTCATCACTCGATTCGGCTTTCCAGGTTTGTTGGCTTAATCTGGTTGCCTGTGCACTGTTGCGACCAGCTTCGCGTATGTCGGCAGCTGGTAGCACGTGGAAGAACTTCTCTGCAAACAAAGCTGGTGTCTGCGTCTGCACGTGCGTGTGTGTGTGTGTGTCATCCCTGTAACAAAGGGTTTACAATGCAGCAAAAACCGGGAGTCCACAATTCTGCTGCCAACGCAGACGGCTGTGGATACTCCGTGAAGCAGATTGGGACGCCAATCTGTGTACCTGCAATAGACTGATGTGCAAACAAGAGCCACATTCCCGACTCACTTTTAGACCAAGAGGTCTACTGCAAGTGTGGTACAGCATGGCTTTCCTGCGTTGGAGGCAGCTGAATGGAAGGTTGCTTCCACGAAACTGACTTCACATGCTCTGTCCGAAGCTCGTGACTGTACTGACTCTGGAGCAACGGGAAGACCATGAAGATTGAAATTATTGTTGACAGTTTCGTTGAGTCTGCTCTGCTACGTTTTCTGTCGCGCGTTGAGTCCTCGCTCGTTTGCGGCAAAGTTTGACGCGACTGTACATATGACAAGGAACCCTGAAAACAAGGACCCATGAAAATTGAACCATTGACTTCACGGACAGGTCGGAAGTTTGTGGCTCGTAGGAAACCTAAGTTTTCTTGCGTTGGGATATGTAAAAACTCATCTAACCATGCCTTGGCTTCAGACGGCACAACCTCCTCCATGTAGGGGAGACGAGGAAGTGCCGCTCATTTCCATCATCACGAATCAAGCGATCGCTCAGTTTTCGTTTTTTTGTTGCTGTTGTTGTTCCGGTTTCTTCGGCCCCAGACCGCTGTCAAGCCTTGAGCTCTCCTCTTTGTTGTTGTTGTTGTTTTGGTTACTTCAGCCCCAGACCTCTGTCAAGCTTTGAGCCCTCCTTTTGTTGTTGTGGTTTCTTCAGCCCCAGACCTCTGTTGAGCCTTGAGTTTCCTGGTAGAGCAGAAACTTGTGAGCTTTCCCCCAAAAAATTGGGGTGTGTGTGTGTGTGTGTGTGCCATCCCTGTAACAAAGGGTTAACAATGCAGGGGGAAGCAGGGAGTCCACAATTCTGCTGCCAACGCAGACGGCTGTGGATACTCCGTGAAGCAGATTGGGACGCCAATCTGTGTACCTGCAATAGACTGATGTGCAAACAAGAGCCACATTCCCGACTCACTTTTAGACCAAGAGGTCTACTGCAAGTGTGCGTGCCTCCTGTTTCGAAGGATTAAGGGTTTTAGCTACCGACGTTTGCAGTCGTACTGTCGTAACAAATGCAGGGGGCCGCAGGCTCACCATTGGAGCTGCGGCCAGCGAAGACCTCCGATGGTAGTAGGTCTGAAAACTTACCTGCAAAGTACGAGTACATTCTTGTTGATTCTGAATACTGAGTATACCCAACATGAGAAGCTCTGCTGGATACATCAGAAGAAGAGCTTGGGTGAACGCTTGATTGAAGGCACCTTAAAAGAGATCGACAACGAACAACCAGCTTCGACTGGGTTTGTGTATGTGTGGGGACCCATGTTTACCAAGGATTCAAGTAGCAGTCCGATCCGTTGCATAACAACTTGCTGCGTTGATTGCGGAAGCAACTCCAGCAATGCATACTTCTCAAAGGTACCGAACGAGTTGTGCAAATCATTTGCAACTTCATGTTGCATGCGAACCAGCCGCCGCAGATTTCATATACCGCGCTGTGATGCTGAGCAATTGAGTTGCAACAGAGAGTCTGGAATGCCGTTCGAGAGATTACTCTGTGATGGTACTGACATGAGTTGAGTGAGGACGATCAACTCACGTACTTGCAAAAGTTGCAAGCATGTACGGAGAACTGCGCAGCCAAGCTGGAAAGCGCTTCGTTGTTACGGAAACTTTTCCGTAGTTGCTGAGTATGTATGACACGTCTTTGCTTGGATTGAGCGTTTTTTGTCGTGGGAATCAGCTCTGCAGTCAGTTCGAAAAGCGAAGATCTGTTATAAAGAACTTTCCATGATCAACCATCACAGCAACTCACCAGTGATGTTTCGCTTCCAGCATTATCGCATGTTTGTCATGTCCTGAAACATGACGGTGAAACTAAATGACCAGCCCTGGCGGCTAAACCTGTCTCTGAGTCGGTGCAGTCGTTGCCACTCAGGGGAAGTTGCACGAGTGCACGAGTCTGTGTGTGTGTGTGTTTCTCTGTCTGGGGTCGGGTCAGGACGTCACCATCAATTTCACCGTCATGCCGCGTCTCAAACAACTTCCTGCGTGGTTATCCGAACTATTTGACAAGAAATCAACCAGTCTAACCAGAGAACTGGAGCTCACTTGTGCCTTCAGATTGCAATGCTTTCATAAGGCACGCACCTTCACCTGCACGAGCTTGGCCGCCTCTTCTTCAGCAGCCTAGTAAGCATACAGCATACAGCTACAATGTGCCGGAGATGGGCCAAACCACACTAATTTTCGCGTCAGCTGTTAGCCTTTCGCTCTGCGCGGACATGTTCCTCCCGATGCTTTCGAGCCTGGTCACCACACGCTACTGTGCCTGTGGCCATGACATGGTTCGAGACACACGCAAACAAACACACGGACGGACAGACGGAAACCATGAACACTGGAGCCTGCAGCTATCGTGCTTGCCAGGCTCATGAAAGAAACGTGCTGCACGCTGTCCTCTCTCTCTTTGAGGTCCCTCAGCATCATCTCCTCCGCGTCCTCCTGCAGACTGCCAGTCGACATGCCTAGAAGAAAACCGAAGACCCGTACCTCGCGCTCATCGATTAGTGGAATCATCTGGTTCCTTGCTGCTTGCTTCAGCCCCTGCCAGTTGCTACGAGGAAGACACGGAATCCGCCCTCCGGCACATTCGCCTCGGCTCCCTCCATTACCGTGTGGGCACCGAAGCGGGATGGTGATCGACTGCTGGGAACTGAAACCTGGGAATGCCACATGCACTCGGCACCTGCTGAGCTCTCCGTGCACGATGCAGAGGCGCCAGAACAAGAAGCGCGAGCCAAGTGTCAAGCAGATCCATTCGATGCCTATGAGCTTTAAGCACCGCATCAGAAGTGCTCTGTCTGTGTGGTCCGATATTCAAGGAGCGCCGAGCAAAGGCTGAGCTTGCGGCATGGCCCTTGCGGGATGAATCGTTGTGGCCGACCTCACAGGCAAGTGGAGATGCCATGTGGCATTTCATGCTGACCACGCTCCAGCCCATCAAGCTTGAGGGATTCGACCATCTTTTGCCGGCTTTTACGCACTGGCACGCAAGCCCTGGCCTGGCACAGACACAGGAGAGCCGGGATCAGCCGGGAGAGGTTCGAGGGTTTGGCAAGATCTTTTGCGGGTTGAGGGGCACAGCTTTGATGCGCAGCTGCCATTACAAAACGCTCTCCTTATGTTCGTCGATACTTGACCTGCCGCCCATGTGAACGGAGACAGTTGGAAACAGGCATTTGCTCAGCTGACAATAGGTTGACAAAAAGACATGTCGGAGCACACGTTCTAAGATTTTTTTTGTGACCGTCACTTCTCGCATCTTCTCGCTCTTCTCATGAATCCCCTCGTCTGCTGCTTGCCCTGTGCTCAAAGCAGAGCAAGTCGGCCAGGACTAACGTCCTCGGCGGGGCCTGTGCGCAATCCCATTCTGATATTCAAGCGCAGGCTTCACGGCTTCGCTCACAGTGTCGGTCGTGGCTCTCTCTCGGCCAGCACTTAGCCCCCGCTCAGCAGCGCAGAGATGCAAGGTCGTCTAAATTCCGGCCACGAGGATCGACCCTTTGTCACGTCCTCTAAACAAGGCGGCGAAGCCCAAGTGTCAATCCGACACCTGCCCAGGTGGAGGGACTCGAACTTAGAAAGGCAGAGGGTGGCAGAGACCTGGAAGGCTCGGACTCGAGGCACCATCCATCTCGCAGAGCCTGTCAGCACCAACATCACAGATTCAGATTCGGCGTTTGTTCGCCAGTCAGACCTGCTAGGCTCCATCAAAACCTCAACGTCCTCAAAGCCCCCCGTTCACGCCGTCGCATGGTCATCTTCACGCCACGCCCAACTGTGTCTGCATCGCTTCTCTCCGTCTCATGGCGCCGCCCTGCCCTGTGAGATAGTGCCGCCTCCCTTGCCGGTGCCACCCCAGAACCGGTCGGCGGCGCAAGAGTTCTGTAGGCTGCCAAGAACAGAAGTGCTGCCGCACGCAGTGGCGACGGAGCTGGCGTAGCTGCTCAGGATCATGCTTCATTTACACAAATCGGACACGCAGTCAATGGCTGCAAGTACATCTCTAGGACACGCGAGGTCGGATGAGATGATTCATGATGGTTCCCTGCATGCCTAGGGATGGACTCTTAACATCTGACCGTACTTGGGAGGGGATCTGGAGACACTTTCGATTCAGCAATAGGTCAACAGGTTCAAAACTCACTTTGGATTAGTGTGAGACTCGTAGTAGTGTTTTGTCTTGGCAAGTCCATGTAATTCACACGCGTCGAGTGCAGCAGCTTGCCTGCTCTGCCGACAGTGTCTTGAAAAGCAGAAGCCTAAAACCTTCAACATGAACGTGGCACATACATGTGATCGCTTTGCTTCCGAATAACCTGCAAACTGCTGATCATTCCTTAGCTACGAAGGACGTCACATGCTCTGTCACTCACGGGCATGCATCCTGTCTCTGGCCAGCATTTGCATCGAGGTCAGCTTTGGGAATGGGGGAGCAGGTCGCGCACCTCTTCGGAGATTCCAGGACTATCACCGGTCCTTGAGCATGCAACGCCATTCAGGCTACAGATTCATCTGTTAATCAGTAGTGCGAAAACTGCATCTGTCTCTCTCACTCTTGCTCTCTTGCTCTCACTCTCTCCGTCGCTCTCTATTAATTTTTCCTGTTGGGCTTTAGGGTCGTCCTCGCGACCCTTACTCTCGCTCGCTCCCTCCCTCCTACCTCCCTTTGCTTTGCTTTGCTCTGGGGCAAGGAGAAGGGGCAGTCCCCTTTCCCCGCTCGTTTGAGCAGCCCCGTCCTCCATTTTGGCTGACGGGCTCGGCTGTACGTGGCCTTTGCTGAAGATGATCGGGTACCTCCCTCTCTGTCTCTTTCTCCCTCTCGCTCTCGCCAGGGCTGGGGTGCTTGCTTGCACTCGGACAAAGGGCACAGGGCCCCCGCACGCGTGCGCGGGCCGGTTTGATGTTCTTGAGTGACACTCCGGTGCAGGATCGAGGAACCGTGCTGCACTGCGCTATCCCCGACCCTGAACTTTATCTGAGTAGGCGCCAGGCCTTGTCCCGCTTTGGCATGACTGCAGTCGCTCCCAGCACACAGGCCAACAAACAGCATATGTATGGGCTGGGGTGCTTGCTTGCTTGCTTGCTCGGGCGTTTAGGGTGCTCTCTGTCTCTCTCTCTCTGTCTTTCGTCTTTCGTCTTTCTCAGGCTCCTTCTCTCTCTCAGTCTACTCGTGGGCATTTCAGTCAATTAAACGGGTAGATGTGGTTTGAAATTAGACACCGCAAATCTTTCATCATTTTTCGACATGGAAAATATACTAGCTTGAAGAGGTGTGCTGAAATCGCGGGACATTAAGGAAAGGAGCTGTCGAACTCAACTCACACGTTCTAGCATACACTCGCAATCGTAAAGTCTCAGAAGCTGAGAGACAGAGGGAGAGAGAAAGAGAGAGAGTCAGGGCATCCAGCATCTTTCCTCTCAGCAAGAAGGCACTTTGTCAGCGACCGGATGTTCCAGTCAATAGTCGGAGAGTCTTTGCTTTAGCCATGGCATGTAGCAAACACTTCACCGAAATGCTGGCCCTGAAGAAGCAGGAGACCCTGACCCCGGATAGGAACACGTCCCGACGACCCCCGTAGTCACAGGAGGAGCAGATGCAGCAATGGGTGACGCACGAGGAGTGGCGGAGGCAGGGCGACGAACAAAACCAGTTAGTTGCAAACTTCAACGAATGTTTCTGATATTTTGTGGCTTGTTCGAAGGATCAATGCAGAAAGGTGAATTACCAATTAGAAGTGCAGGATTTGCCAGGATGGCATCCTTATGTAGGCTTTAGGGTGAAGGTTCAGGATTTCTGCAGTGCTGTCTCTTGGTGAGCGGTATCCCGAGCGAGAAAGCAGGCAACTTAAAGTGAAGCCCCGGCATGAGAGAGACGACTTACAAGTCAGCACATCACGTGCATCATACAGCAGGGAAGACTCAGCCGGAACTGAGGGGAAGGCTGCGTTCAGACAAATACACGTGCGTGCAAACATCCGGCGCGGTCCACGAAAATTCGGGTCTAGGGCTTCATTGCGTGAATCTCACACACGGTGCACTGGCGAGGCAAGCTGGACTGCTCCACGCGAGCATTAAAGCAGGTGCAGCAAATGGTGCAAACATGCAAGGCCATGGAAACTCGAATCAATGCCGGCGGGTTTGCCCTGTGCCAGCCAACATATTCTTTACCTATCCCCCCTGCGACAAGGATCTCAAGGCCTGCAGGTCGGAACAGTAGTACTCATATTAGATAATGTTGGCACTAGCTAGACTTGGTAGATGTCGTAGTCGTGATAGTTGTCGGCTTGTAATTTCGAGGAGACATGGGTTTTGCATCCACTCGTCTCGAACTTGCAGGATGCACGTGAGCACAAACCCTTTCAATGTCCAAACCGGTCACGGTGCTGCCGATCTTCCGGCTACACTGCTACATGTGTGTCGCAACTCGTGGAAATAGGGAATTTTGGTGATGCTCCAGCCCGGTCTGGATGCAGAGTTTAAGGGTCATGTGGCCTCCGGTGGCCTTTCTGAGCAACAAGCTCTCGTTTTACACGAAAACCTTATTCGTACCTTTCTTTCCCTGTAGTGTTGGTACAGTACGAGTACAACGCATGGTGGCATGTTGAGGCCCGCGCTTATCTGCGGCAGTTTGTGGAATATCTTGGCAATACGTGGCGCAGTCGTTGCTTTGATCTGAAGAATCGCTGAAGACTGTAGCAGGGCTTAGCAAGCATCAGGGCTTCTTGCTGGCCATCTGCGTGGCTGTCGCAGCCGACTCGAGCCTTAAGATTCCAAACAAGAGACTTCTGTTCCAGACAGTTTTTTGCTTTGCTCAGGCCTCCCGTTGGTGCTTGCCGGTGCAGACCCTGGACGTGGCACGGCTTCGACAGCGCCTGGCAATGCTGATCATGGAGGCGTGCTGGTCATAGTCTGAAGCTGCACCTCGAGCACCCGAGACATCGTCCTTCAAGACACGCACAAGACAAGCATGGATCAACATAAGAGGGCTCTGCCAGACCCTCCTGCCTCTGCATGACGGCGAATATCAGCTTTGCTGCCAGTGGCTGGTCGGCATGAGACCAGGTGTTTCACCCTCAGTGAACGGGAGTGCTTTGCAGAGGAGTGCATGTCAACGAGTGCTTGCTTCACAGAGAATCCTGGAGCTCTGCAGCTGCTGGCCCTCGCCCCTATCATAGCCTGAACAGAATCGTGGTCGGAATGCTATTCCCACACGCTGCCACACTGTGCAAGAATGAATCTCGGCGACAGACTGACGAATTGCATCTTCATCTCACCGACGAGAACCTTTTGACAGGCACTTACACTGTACGCTGACACTTGGAATGTGTTTCCCGCACGGTAGTCTGCGAAGCAGTCCGTCGAATGAACTCAATGAGAGCCTGACCTCGCAGGCAGCTGCAGCCGCGAATGCGAAGGATTTCCGGGCGATGTAACTCTCATACAGGAGTTTGCCACCCTCCTGCAAGACCTGCAGGTAAGTGGCATGTGCTGCCCAAGAATTGCCAAAGAGGCAGAAAGTGAGACGAAAACGGCGATCATGACACCCGGTCTACATCTAGCGGGCACTGGCCCTGACAGCAAAAAGCTGCTCACCTGCTCGAGCACAAGGTCGGCAGCGTTTTCCGCGGAAGAAAATGGATCGAGAAGATCGGCAGCATCTTCGACCATTTCCTTCGAGTCGCTCTGCTCTGCCACTGTTTCCTCTCTTCTTGTGGTTCTTCTGCTTCCTCTAACTCTTGGCCGGAATAGCTGTGTCAGCTGATGCCAGAGGTTGTGGCAAACCCGTCTTTCTGCCGCCTGCTCACTTGCTGGATTGTTCCGGCAACAGTGAAGACATGTCCCTAGTCGACTCTGACATTGCCCTCTTCATGGGATGCCAGTTAGGGGCCCCCTTCTTTGAAACAAGAAAGGCACCGTGACATGCGACGACGAGGTTGCATATCACTCACTCTGTCTTTATTTGCTTTGCTCTGCTTGGGACCTAGGGCGGCAGTCCCCCGTCGCGCGCAGTTCGCGCTACCCCGTCCAACATGCTGCGGGACGGGCTCGGTCTGTACAAGAAGGCGCGTGCCCCTCTAGTGTAAGCGGCCTTTCAGTGGCCGGGCCACTATCTGCACAACAACAAACTAGCGTGGGAAATACTTTGGGCGCCCGGTCCACCTTGTGACTGGTGCCACTGCAACACAAACGCTAAAGAACGAACTTCGCACTGTTGGGTGCCCCGTCTCTTCTCTTCGCCCTGACCTTTACCTTTCCCCGCCTCGACATGCCTCGACCCTGTCTAACACCGAACTGAAGCCTGAGCCCCTGCAGCACTGCCTGTGACCTTCCACTCAACCCCGAAGCCTCGGCTACAGTTGGTCTCCTTTCCTCTGCATTGTTGAAAACCGACCCACCTCTCTCTCTCTCTCTCTCTCTCTCTCTCTCTCCCGGGCATGAGGGCGGGTCAACGCCCTCGGGCCAATGGCCCCCCCGCTGTGTTAACGGGTGTGTGAGGGGTGAAGAATGAGTCAGGAACACAGTTTCGGCTAGAGCCATAAAGTAAATACGATAGCGTTAACTGTGTCCCATTTGACTCTCACTTCAACACGTGCATAGTCATTCTTATATCTCCCCCTATTCAAGTGCTAAAGTAGATCACATTTGGTGCCAAAGATCGTAAGAATATATAGGGGGCATAAAGGATGACTCCGGGAGGATGATTGTGTCTGCAGTTCCCCCGTGATGCCGAAGTGTTTTTAAGGAAAAAGTAGATTACAGGATATCTTCGTTGCGGCATCACTGTTCGGGGTTGTATAGTTCAAGGAAGTTTCAGGGTTGGGAGTCCACCGGATTTCGGAGTGCAAAGCAATGACACAACTATACCTTTGTGGCCTAGAGGCTAAGCATGTGTAAAGCAAGGACGTACCGATGGACCATTCCCCCCGTTGAAATGTCTATGCTGCTTGCATCATAAAACACATAGGAAAAGAGGTTCATCACGAATTCGTTCAAATGCAAGCATCACAGACTGACTGAGGCCCAGGCCATCACTGTATGGGGCACTCCCCCAGTTCAAGCAGGACGTCATCAGAAGAAAGATTTCACAACCAGAAACAGAAAGTAGATTGTATAAGTTATCCCCCGTAGAGGTGTCCTGCTGGGCCGTTATGGCTGAATTTCGGCTGGAATTTCCCTTAGTAGTTCGGAAACTATAAACCAGGAGTGTCAGTAGGTAGGTAGGGATAATTCCAGCCCCTTCGTCGTGCTGTGGTACAATCTTCGTGTTCCAAGTGCTGAATCGCAAGTTACCAAACAAACCTCAACATAGGACCATAGGACCACCGTATCGACTGGATTCAGCACTTGTCCTGGCAGCATGAGTAGACTTCGCAACAACAGCTTATAGTATGTTCGTTTGTGGCATCGAAGCAGCAGCAATTGGCACGGGGTATTTGGGAGGCTTTTCGTACATGCATACCAAGCTCGTTTCGTCCCCCTTGTTGGTCACAGAAGGGCTTGAAGCTACAATACAGGAGGCTTCAAAAGCAGTAGGAGAAACGAGGTGGTAGTGCATTCCCCGGATCAGAGGCTCTCAGATGGGGCCATGACGATCATAGTAGGCTCCATGTAGGCGGCGGCGCCGATGTTCAGCGGGACTTTCTTCACTCCCACTTGGTACGTCTTCTGTTGGACTCCGTTCTTCTCGAGTGGTTCCCCCGGGAGCATTTCCAAGGCCATGGTGCCGGTCATGGAGCCACCAGTCCACATGAGCAGAGGAGGAGGGCATCCCCCTGTCTCGGGCGGGGTGCATTTCGCCCAAAGCTTCCTCATGTCCCCCGGGAGAATCGTGCACTTCAGCAGCTCCCGGGAGTGCAAGGTGTCCAGGATATAGTTCATGTCCCCCGGCAGGATCGTGCACTTCAAGGGCTCCCGGAAGTACTGGTAGTCCAGGGTGTAGTGCTTCTTCCACCATTTCAAGGGTTTGCAAGAGTGCGCGGTGGATAGTATTGAGTTCTCCACCCGGCCACTCCTGTAGCTGTCCTCGCAAGGACTGCAGTTCGAGGACGATCCCCCGAGCTAAACGATGTCGGCGGTCACGAGCAAGATGAGATGTGACAATCCCCCTGTGCTCCGCAATGACATCAGCTGGGTGGCCAACAGGGTCGCCCCGCTCAACTGCTGCTAAGTAGTGGCTGACATCTGCGAGCAACAGCCAATGTTCACGTTGTTGAGGTTCCATTTGGATCCCCTGAAGGGCTGTGCCGAGTTGGCCGAGGACATTCCCCGTATTGAACATGCCCCTGTCGTAGTTCAAGTCAGCTTCGTCGCTCCCCCATTGCTGGAGGTGGCCGCCTCGTGCCGTGGCCATGGCATGCAGGTGGCTATTTAGCCATGTGAGTAAGATGTCAATGTCGTGCTGAATGTCATGATATGAGACTGGGTTGTGGTTGCTCGCTGCACTCAGGTGTTTCCAGGCTTTTGTAAGTATGCGCTGCAGGGCTTGCTGGGTTGAGGATGCTGTTGTTGCTCCTGTTCGAGCGCGCTTTGGGTCGGGCTCCCCCGCGTCACTCGGAACAGAGGGATGTTCCAGCTCAAGTTGGCGAAGCACCTCCGATTCGGTCTGATCATCGACAAGTAAGTCGGCCAGGGCGCATTCTGCCAAGTGTGTTATCATGTTCCCCCCTGGTAGTTGTTGGGAGAGTCTGTGGATGCGAGTAAGGTAGTGTTCGATGCGATCTGTGGCTGTAGGGTAGTGGCTGCTTGTGGCAGCTGGCAGGGGTTGGTCTTGGGGAGTGTCTCCCGTGGTGCTATTGGGGATGGTTTCGGGTGGCGGTTGTGCCACCAATGCTGTGTTGGCTTGTTGTGGTGGTGGCACGGCTGGGGTGGCTGCTTCTGCACCTCTTTGCAGCGCTTGTTGGATGTGCTGCATAAGGTTGCTTTCGTCGTGGCTTGTAGAGGAGGAGCTTGTAGTGGAGGTTGTGTCTGTGGTGATCGTCCACATGGTGTTTGTTGTGTTGCTGATGGTGGTGGTGGTTGTGGTAGCTGTTGGCGTTTGGGGATGGCCAGTGGTGGTGGTGGTTGTTGTCGTTGTCGTCTTTGCTTGCTTTTTCCCCCCGATGTCTCGGCCGTCACGGATGCGAGTGAGGAGATCAGCTGGGTCTGTCTGTGGAGTGGGGGGGGCAGGAGGTGGTTTTGGCTCGGTCTTGTTTCTGCCCCGGCTTCCACGCAGGTCCCGTGTGTCCACGAATGCGCTGTAGTTGCGTGGTGGTTGTGGAGGTGGTTGTTTGGATTGCGGCTGCGATTGGGCTTTTGCTTTTCCCTTCTGCTTCTTGGTGGGAGGGTCCTTGGTGTCAGCGGCGAAGTGGACATGCTTTGGTTGTTTTGGGGGGAGTGTTTCCCCATGGGTGGTTGAGGTCGCCGGGTGGTCTGTTTGTGGAACGGGGGGCGGGTCGTTGCTCCCGCGTGCTGCATCGTGGGTGTCTGTAGTGGTTGTTGGGGTTTGTGGTTGTTGCCGTGGCTGCGTGGATGGTGGCTTTGCTTCCCCACGCCTAAACTCTCGGGGTGCAGAATGCACTTGCTTGTCCACGGTCATCTTCCCCCCTTTTGGAGTGGACTCGAAGATGAAGGTGTCCCCCGCAACTGCGAGGATGCTCCCCGGCCAATGTTCGTCGAGGGGAGGGGTTTCGGTTATCACCAGAAGCCACATGTCTGGTGGGCCCATCGGGGCCAATCGTCCTCTTAGGCCAACGGTAAAGGGTGGTGCCGTGAGGACTGGCCCGCTCTGGCCCGGGTGGGTGATGTGGAGAGATGGCAGTCCGTCTGTTGCTGTCTGGGCGGTGGGTATGTAGTGGGTTGCCGAGACATCCACTTCGAAGCACCCATGTGAGATTGGGGAATATGTCACCGTGGTCCCCTCTGCATGTGGAATGCTTGCGGGGATTACAAGTTCGTCATGTGGTGGCCCCAGCGGGGCGTTGTCGTACTGCCATTGCTCTTCTGCTGTAGGCTTGTATGGTGTGTGTGGTTTGGTGGGGGTCTGCTGACCCGTGGCTGGTGGCGGTTGAATTGGTGTGTTGGCAGGGTGGGCGTCAGTGGAGCTTGAGCTGGCTGTAGCTTGGGTGGGGGGAGTTTGGGGTGCTGATCCCCCTGGTGGTGGTTTTCCAAGGAATCTTGCCATAGCTTCCTGGAATCGTGCATCGGCTTCAGTGTCGGCTTTGGTCCCCCGAGGATCTGGTGCTTCACTGGGAGGGCGGTCGCCGGTGTGTTGTGTTCTGCTTGCGAGGATGCCCCAGCCGGGTCCATCCTGGGGTTGGGGGTCGGGTCGCACAAGTTGCTCCCCTGCCCAGACGCGTTGCTTGAAGGAGTGCTTTCCCTCCTTGTTCCCAAGGCGTTGGGAGCCGTGTCCCGCCCCTCTCTTGGAGGTATGTTTTGGTCCCCCTATGGGTTGCCCCCAGCCAGGTCTTTCCCATGGTGGGATTTTCCGCATTGGATCTTCGTCCATAGGGTCGCTGGTATCCTCCTCGGTGTCCTCCGTGTTGGGGCTGTGGTCCGATGGGTTTGTTGGACGTGGTTGGAAGAAGTCTGGAGGTGGCTGTGTCTTCTGGCCGCGTGGCAGTGGGTCAGGTTGTGGCTGTAGGGGTTGCAGTGGGGGGGGTGGTTGGCTGCAGGATGCATCTACTGTGTAGTTGGTGCACGTTGTGGTGGCTTCGTCGAGATGTTCGTCGGAGCCAGTGGCGGCGGTGGGGGTGGAATGTGTGGGGGGCACTGTTCGGTTAGCTGTGGCCTTTGGAGTCGGGTCCTGGTGAGCAAACGCGCTCAAGGTAGCTGGTGGGTAGGCGCCCAGTGGATATCCAGCTGGTGTATTCCCCCAGTCGCATGTCGGGTAGTGGGCCAGTGCCGGGTGGTGGCAGCCAGGCTGGTGGTTGTTGTGGTGGTTGTGCCAGTGGTGGTTGTTGTTGTGGTTGTGGGGGGGCGTGTTGTGGTGCTGTCTGTCCAGCTGGATTCGGAGGGCCGTGCGAGGCTTTGCCCCCCGCTTGCTGGGCGTTGGGAGATGGATCCTCCTGGGGGTTGTTCCAGGGGTCTGTGTCCCAATCGTATGTGGGATGGTAGCCGTGGATGTCGTTGGTGGCTCTTGGAGACGTCGGTTGGCTGGTCTGCGAAGGTTGTTGTACTGTGGTAGTGGCGGGGTTGGTCTGTGGAGGTTGTGGCTGTGGTTGTGGTTGCTGGACTTGGAGTGGTGGTGGACCGGTTGGTTGTGTCGGGCATGCTTGCTGACTGATCTGGTATGGTGGTGGTGGTGGAAAGTAGAGTGGTGGTTGTGGGGGTATGTTGTTAGCGGTTCCCCCGGCAGTGAGGGTTGTCCAACCGCCCCACGATGTAACGTAGCCGCCGGAGGTAAGGTGCGTTGCCGCCCACGCCAGTTGGGCCGGGGCCCCGGTTTCTCCCCAGGCTTGCTGCTGCCATGGTGGTATGTTGGGGTCTGCCGGTGCAGTGTTTGTTGCGTGTTGTGGCGCTGCTGGTGGGGCCTGCTGCGTGTTGTGTGTGTCACGCAGTGTTGTTGCTGCCGCTGCTTGCGCGTCGTCAGTCGCTGGCTGTGCCGTTCCTGAAGGGGGGTCCGGCCCGTGCGTCAGCACGTTGTGGATCGTTCCCCACCACAAAAGGACCGGTAGGGTGCAGCTGAGCATGCTCTCTGAGTGGCTTGCTGTAGCGGAGCTCTGGGCCCCTTTCGCAAAGCTGCTGTTGTTGCTCGTCAAGTACAAGTCTGTACAGTTTGTCCATGAGGATTACGATCATGAAGTCATCCATAGTTGAAAGAGTGGTGTAGATGTCGTAGGATACGATGTTGAAGGAAAATGTCATGTTTGAGCAAAGGATGTAGTCGAGCAGGCGTGGGATCTCGGCATTCTTCGTGGATAAGCAAAAAGAAGAAGAGAGAGAGGAAAGAACAAGCATACTGCACGTCCACGTCGCTGTCACTGATCTTCGGCGAACAGGTCATTCACGACTTGACTGTCAATGCAAAAAGGTATCTCTCGCATGCTCTCAGTCTCTCAGCTGTGGTGTTTGCAAGTTGCGTGGTCTGTTTGTTCGCTGCTTTGCTCGTTGTTTTGCTTTGCCGTTGCTTCGTTGTTGCTTTTTCCGGCTGCTGTCTTCCAAGCTTTCTAGGAAAGCTTTGTCGGAGGCCTGTTGGTCCCCCGGTGCAAGGTTCGAAATGCTGCTTTGTTTGCCACTGCTCCATGGGACATCATATTTCGCAATGAAGGTAGCTTCCCACTCCCCCCATGTGTCCCGGTCCTGTGCGATTGCGAACCAATTCTTGCCGATTGTGTCGCTGAGTTGTCGGTCTATGTCCATGTAGGCATTGAAGCGGGCTGCATGTTGCAATGGTCGCCCGATGTCTTTTTGCTCTTGCCACCACTGAAGGCTGTGCCACTGGAGGATTTTCCCCCCGACAGGGTCGCCACGGCTAACATGTCCAATGGCGGTGCAGATCTGGGAGAGCACAAAAGTGGACCAGCGGGTTCCCCCGCAGTGGTAGAGAGCGAGGCGACTTCGTCGAAGACTTCGCTTGTTCCAGGTCGCCCACTCCTCGCATGGTTGTCGTCGTAGTCCCAGCATCACTCGCACATGGGCGAGTTGAATGCTGTTTATGGAGCGCAGTAGACAGCTGTGGCATGGCCATGTCTGGCATGCCCAAAGGGCACTTTGTCTGACCAGCACGACGTGGATTTGCAATTTCTGCCGGATGGTAGCTGCCGAAGTGAAGGAATCCCTGTGGGTCCAAAAGGTTGGTGTTTTGAACGAGCTGCATAGCCTGCCGCACATGAGCTCGTCACCGGTGAAAACTCATCCTACCCCAACCCGCGGGGGATCCAGATGTGGAACATCATCAAAAGATAAATTGGCATCAGCACGTTCAGAAAAGTACCGCGTTCGCGGTAACTTGGATAAAGCTGTCTTCTTGGTGATACGAAACTTTGCTTTGGCAGCACGCCACATAGAACATAGAGTACGTGGTAGGTTAGAGGTGCGGTCCTTCCAGCGCCACTTTCTCCCACACCTCAAACATTGAAGCCATCCCTCATCCGGTGCGCCTATATTCTTGCCAAGTTTGCGGTTCCAGTGAAGCAGATGTTTGGCTCGATTATATTTCATGTTGAGTTCCCGCTCCAGTTGGTCGAGCCGGTTGTCGTTGGACAGAAAACCTTCAGACGCCAAAACAGGGCCACCTCGTTGTGTGCACGGTTTGCTCGTAATCTTGAGTCGAACATGCTGAGTATTGGAGGTAAACTTCCCACATAAACGGCACCAAAAGCCGCCCTCAGTACGCGGTGCCAGCAAATGCCCATTCTCCACAATACCTCGTTCAGTAATCTCCCGCGTAGGAAAGTTACGTCTCTTGTCCTCCAAGTCCCCCCCCGCATGCCACCTGACAATATGCTTCTGCCAGACGTCAACAAGGAATTCTTGAACTACGAGTACCACGTCATCGTTCAAGTAAAAGTCCTCTGGTACCACCATCGCATACGTAAAGCATATTGACAAATCCTCAATCCTGCACCCCAGAGACTCCAACACGTGTGCTCGTTCCTCCGCATATAAGGCACATCGCCATGAAACGTGCATGATGGTCTCCTCCTCCGCACCGCAAGAGCACATACGATTGGAATCCTGTCGTTTGTGCCGCGACGCCCGCTCTGGCGTCATCAAGCCTCCTGCAATGATACGACGCAAAACTCCAAGTTTAGCCCATGCATCCTCATCGCCTTGTCGCGCGCGTTCCTCCAGTTTCCGGTGGTAAAGTAGTGTACGCACACGATCCACCCTCCCAGCACCCGCATAATGTTGAGATCTTTCCTGGCTCACCTTCCGCCACAAGTAGGCTCGCCACTCATCTCGTAGTTGATGTAACCACAACCCTTCATCGATCTCACCCGCCATCAATTCATTGACCCTGGTTGACAAGATGGACACATCACGAAGGTTTTGCAACCGTAGCGTAGGACCATCCACCACCGCCGAAGGAGTACAGTGGTACCTCCTGCGGATTTCCGCCGCTATGTCCGGTACTCGCATAATCCGCATAACAGTGCGCAGTCCTTCGTAAGCCGCCCCAAACTCAGGATCAAGCTGGACTGGACACAAAATCGCCATCGTGACAAGAGGGCTCATAGAGTAAAACTCGCATCCCCATAAGGATCGCATAACCTCTGTGCGCACCGTACGCAGATAAGTAACATCCGCAGCGATAGCGTGCGTCCCCTGCCCAAAAAGCGCTTGCGACTGCGTGGCCATCATCATCCGCGAACGATCCGCCCATGAGCGAGGTACATGGCGTATCCTCCTGATGCTACCCTTCCAAGCGTCCCAGCGCTTCTGTTCCAGCATCGTGACATTCAAAGCGGCATCCCGCACCACAATGGACCCGCCCACCAGTCGGAATTCGGATAAATGCGAATATGCCGGTTCAAAAGCAGCCTCAATCCCAGCATCTCCGAATGTGTAGGTTTTGCGCTCGTGTACTTCTCCGCACTCCGCTTGCTCATAAGCCCTGATGATCGCGTGAAAGCCCCGTAATCCATGACTTACCCCCTCCACTGTATCAGCTTGCGCCACCACACTAATATCATCTGCGTATGATCTCGGCTTGACGTTCGCTCCCAGTTCAACCTTAGAGGCCTCCAAGACGCATGAAACGATGCTGTTCAAAGCTATCATTGAGAGTGCATCTCCCTGTATGATACCACCGTCCGGACGCCACCATTCTCCCAATGCACCTCGCAGCCTGAACACCCGCCAAAGCCCATCATACATAGAAGCGAGTGGTCTCAGCAAACGCTCCGCGGCTCCACGCCGCCGCATCGTAGCCAGCATAATGTTAATCGGCACCAGATCAAAGGCTTTTTTAAAATCATAAGACACTCCACCAACGCACGGTGGCCCACCATAGGCCGAAGCTTCCAGGTCAAGGGCAACCTGCATCGCCAATTGCTCGGAGCTACGCTTTCGCCTGCAACCGAACACCGAATCATCTACCCAGCACTCCTGCCACTTCATCGCGGTCACGAAGCGGGCCTTCGACCACAATCGGTAGATTCCTGATAACACCGTTATCGGGCGAAACTCCGTTGGAGCAGGATCTGCGACAGTAGAGTCTTTAGGGATTAGTGCAGTGTAGGCACGAAGTATGGCTCGAGGCCATCGGCTGGTGGTTTCAACAAAGTCCAGTATCAACGCTAAGTCATCGTAAATGCCTGGTGCCCAATGCCCCAAAGCAGCCAGTGACCCAGGTTTCCACATGTCCAAGCTCGGCGCCGAAGACGCAGTTTCACGAGCTACCTCCGCCAGAAAAGGACCAGATAAAGGTTCCAGATCCATACGCGCGCTCCGCATGTATGGGCCAAACTGTTCTATGAACCGATCACAATCCGCAGGTCTAGAATGAAACTTCTCAAAGATAGGTTTCCATGCCGTGAGCATGTGGTCCAGCTGCTCATTGCGGTCAACCGTGAAACTCCCCTCACTAGTACGCATCAGCATGGAACTCCGCTTGCACTCATCCTTCACCCACTTGTGTGATTGACGAATAGAAGATTGCATCCTGTCCTTCCAAGCACGAAGGCGCGCTTTGTCCCCTGCCGTCTGGAGCCGCCGATACTCCGCCGCAAGCATATTACACATCTGAGTCACGACCTCACCCCCAAAAGGCCTTGCGGGCTCTGCTCTGTGCTTCAGCCAGTAGCATGGCGGTCCCCCCTTGAAAGGAGAGAGGGCTCCCGAGCACGTGAAAGATATGTTTGGGCCCCTTCGTCGTGACATTCTCCCCCGCAACCTTGAAGGTCACCTGCTTGTCGGAGTTGGAGATGATGTCGGTTTTCCCGGGGTGCAGGTAAAGTCCACGTCGGGGTAGTCGGTGACCCAAGCAGGAGAGTAGATGCTGGAAGTGCTGGCGGTTCGTCGACCAGATATAGTTGTCGTCCATGTAGCTTCCCCCGTCCTCGGGGGGTGAGGTGTCGTCCGATGGCTTGCTGGTTCTTGCTTCTTGGATGGCTGCGTCGAGGTCGTCCGCCACCACGGAGCCGAAGGCAACTGGACTTTCAGGTGCACCTTGACGAACGCCATTGCTTTGTCGAATGGGGATGTTTTCCCCGGCCACTTGTATGCAAATATTCTCGGCGTGGAGCAATGCTACCCATGCACGGGCCTCCCAGGGGAGTCGGGCTTTTTCCCCGATGGTCTGGTAGACGTGGGCTGCGAGGCTTTCTTGGTAAATGGAGTCGAAGGCCTTGCGGATGTCTAATTTGGCGATGTAGAACTCCAGGCCCCAGTCGCGAGCAATGCGTGCCAATCTTCGGAGAATGAGGATCAATTCGACCCCCTGTCTCCCCCGCCTGCACCACTGTAGCCTCGCCGGGGTTTGGATGGCATCCCCCGATCTTTGTAGGATGAGTTGTCCAAAAGTCTTGAGTAAGACTGAGCTGAGCGTTATGGGACGTGTTTCGCTCCAGTCTTTTGGTTGGCTTGTTTTTGCCAACAGTATTGTGACTCCAGCCTCGACACTCGCGACGATGCGGCAGGTGTACAGCATGTCGTTGAAGAGTTCTAAAAGACGGTTCCCCCACCTGGGGTGGGGCAGCATAGCCTTCAAGGCTTCGTGTGACACCATATCAGGGCCGCACGACTTGCCATTTCGCCACTTGACTTTCACGGCCATGAGCTCCTCCATCGTGAAAGGTTTCCACGGTGTATGTTTGCACCTGATTTCGAGCTGGTGCATGATCCCCCGGATGGTGGCTGTAACGATGACCTGTTTTTGTTTGTAGAAGATCTTCTCGAAGTGGTCCTGGAGTGCCTTCTTCCAGTTGTCATCGTCAGTGAGGTAGAGTTCCCACGTGTGATCACGGCTTTGTTCTGTAAGGGCTTTTTTCATCCCCCAATCCAATTCTGCCACTTTTTGCATGGCCAGTTGTTGCCACCGTCGGTGTTCTTGTTTGTGCACTCTTCTGGCCAATTTCCAAAGGCGTCTTCGATCTTCTCCGGGTGGTGCTTGTAGTGCTTGTCGTCGCATTTCTCGAAGAGCTGCGGATTCTTCAAAGGGTTGTTTATTTTTGCCAGGTTTGCTGATGGCCACGGCGACCTGCTGTATTTGCATCACAGGGTCCCCCCCAACATTGAGGTCGCGGTCGAGGATGGCATCGACCTCGTTCCCCGCCTTGAGTATGCGGGATGACCAAGGTGCTGCACGTTGGTCCCCCTCTATGTTCTTGGCGCGGATCTTTGTTAAGGGCACGGACACAGGTTCATGGTCGGACGTGGCGATATCTCTTTGGGCCAGGATTTCCCCGGGGTCACAGAGTAGCTTCTTGACGAAGATGTAGTCCAGGCGGCGTGGTTCCATCGTAGTGTTGTATGGAAAATGGCTAGGTTGCTCAAGGGCTTGCTGTGGCAAGTGGCACTCTGCCTCTTCGAACCATTCCAGCAGCATCTCTCCGCGTGCTGTGCATGCCTTCGTCTGCCGTCGTTGTTGTGCTGTCTCAAAGGTCTCGTTGGCATCGATCCCGACGATGGCTCTATGGTGGCTTTGTAGGTGTGGGTACAGTTGCTGTAGGATTTGCTCTGTAGTGGATAGGGTGGCATGGTGTGGAATGTGGACCGAGAAAGCTCCCAAGCGAAGTTCATCGGAAGTCAAAGTGCAAGAAATCGAGCAAGGTAAAAGCTTCCCCTGGCTGTGTCGCAAGTTGGAGGTATGCAGTATGGCATTCCCCCGCCACTCTTCGGCCTTTTTGCCAAAGATAGCTTGCAACTCTCCCAAGGAAAGGTGTTGTTTCCCCGGGTCGCATATGATCTCTTGGATGAACACGACCAGGGTGCCACAAAAGGGTCGAATTCGTTGTCGCCGAAGTGCGAGGATGACTTCAAGTGCTTTAGCCGCTGAAAGTCCCCCCACATTCCAACTAATGGCATGCATTTGGTCTGTCGCGGGCCCGGAGGAGTCTCGGCCCCGCCTTGTTGTCCGTTCTCACTGGAGAGCTTTGCGGAGCTCTCCCCATTTCTGCACGGCCGTCTCCTCGGAGATCCCGATCTGCCGGGCCAGCGAGCCAAGGTGAACCCATCCGGACTTCTCGATGGAGGCGCCTTCGGGTGCCGAGGTAACCCCCGAGGCGACTTTGATGCTATTGTACCAGAGGTTCGCTGTGCCATACTCGACGTCAATATGACGTACGTCCCCACCTTCTTCGATGATGAGTCTCTTGACCTTTCCAGCGAGTTGTGCACGTTTGCGACGCTCGGGGCTCTGGCTCATGGCTGCGAAAAAATAGCGCTGTCCCCCTTCAGGTCGTTGGCCAGTTACCACTTTGGCTGCCCGAATGGTACGAAGTGCTTCTTGGACGCGGGCTCGTTGCTCCTCCTCTGTTTCCCCCTCCAGTTTGATGAGTGGGACGAGGGCGAACCCCCGTCGCAGTCCGGGGACGAAGGCTTGGCTGAGGTCCAGGTTGATGTTGAGCTCGGTCAGGTGCTTTTTGACGAGGCTTAATGTCTCCTCGTGGTGCTGGTCGGCATCCCATCCCCCGACCACCAGTGCTGGTCGGGGGTTTCCCCCTTCGTTTTCGGAAGTCCGTGTACTCGACATAGAAAAGTTGGCTTTGGCGAACTTCCCCTCCAGGAGCTCGAGGCGCTGTAGCACGGATTGCTGCCTTTCGTCCACCTTGCGAACACTTTGTTCCATAACGCAGTGTCGGTCGGTCATTGCCTCAAGGAGCTTGGTGGTGTTGTTGACATGTGTTTCAACTGTCAGCTCCACGGTGGACATGCGGTTGTTGATGGTGTCCATGTCTTCTCGAACTTGTGCCACAATCTCCTCACGGTTCTCCTTGAGAGCGGCCAGGAGTGTGGTGAGGGTCAATGGTCGTTCGGCGTCCTCATCGACTGCTGGTCGCTTCCTTCCGCCGGCAGGGGCGGGCTGCTGGTCCCCCTGTGTGGGTGAAGAAGGCGGTTTTGCCGTGCCTGCCATTGCACAGTCAGGTAAGGGTCCGCTTCCCTCGCCCAGCGTAGGTGAAGCAGAAGTGCAGGGAGAGGTAATCCCCCGCCCACGTAGGGTCGCCGTTTGCAGCAAAGGCGCTGTTGTAGATGTCCCGAAGGTACAGCGTGTGGCCACCGTACAGGAGTGAAGTTGACGATGTCGCAGCCGTCAGGGCCGAAGGTGATCTCGCGTAGTTTTTCAAACTCCCCCGAGAGGTCGATCGCAGGGCACGTTCTCTCACTCTCTTGGAACGCGGCCGGGTTGCTCCCCCGACTAGTTTACGGGCTTGGGGCTCGAACCACTCGCGGCTTGAGCCAAAATGGCTACTCTCTCTCTCTCTCTCTCTCTCTCTCTCTCTCTATCTCTCTCTCTTGCCTTCACACGTTCTTGCTCTTGTGCTTCTGCTCTTGAAGATGACTGTTGCGGCTTAACATTGGCCTTTGTGTCGGCCGATGCGCCAGCGGGTCATTGGAACCGATGCTTGAGTCACAAAGCGGTGCAGCGGCATCTGAGAGTATGCTGAACCGTCCAAGCCGCAAAGCCTTGCTCGAGGCCCAAACTCGACACAACTCCTTTTCTGTTGACCGCTGCGAACAACCCCCGAGGTGGAAGAGTTGGAGGCAAGTAAGAGCCACTAACTTGAAGCAGGTTGGGCTAGCGTTCAGCATCATAGTCCTTCCGCTTGGCTGGATCGCTCAGAACACTGTATGCCTGCAGAATGCTCGGTAGCTTTGGCGAGGACGCTTACAGGCATCGAATTCAGATTAGTTGAACTGCATGAGCAGACGGGCCTTGTTGAGTTTGTGGAACGTCTCAGGATCACCACCCTTCTCAGGATGTGCCGTCAGGACCTTTGCTTACTCTTGCTGTCTTGCAATAGCTTCCAGACGTCCGTCAACATCCGTCATCGCGGGGTCTCGCCGAGCAGCGAATGGGGCACTCGCATTGTAAGAGCCACCCCTCCCAAACAAGTCTTTCGAACCTGAATAGACTCGACAGGTATCCCGCCCGAACAAACCAACAATAATTCGGCCAAGCTTGCTTGGGTGGTACGGCACGCAGAGCTGGGCTCTAGGAGTAATGGTAGTGGTATGTAGTAGTGGTAGTGGTAGTGGTAGAGGTCGTCCTAGAGTAGTAGTAGTAGTAGTAGTAGCAGCAGTAGTTGTTGTTGCTGTTGTTGTTGTTGTAGTTGTAGTTGTAGTAGTAGAAGTGGTAGTGGTAGTAGTAGCAGTAGTAGTAGTAGTAGTAGTAGTAGTAGTAGTGGTGGTAGTCGTAGCAGTAGTAGTAGCAGCAGTAGTAGAAGAAGAAGTAGTAGTAGCTGTAGTAGTAGAGTAGGAGTAGTAGTGGGAGTCTTAGTAGCAGCAGCAGCAGGAGTAGTGGTAGTGGTAGCTGTGGTAGTAGCAGTAGTAGTTGTTGTTGCAGTCGTTGATGACGATATAGTAGTAAGAGTAGTACAAGTAGTAGAAATCGTTGTTGCTACATTGTTGTAGCCGTTGTTGTTGCTGCTGCTGTTGTGGTGGTGGTGGCAGAAGCAGTAGCAGCACTGGTAGTACTAGCCTTCGTCGGCGAGGTCGTCACCGTAGTCGCTACCCCCTCATCGCAACACCCATCAACCTCGCCAATGTTCCGCTAACGAGAGCATTCTTCTCACCGCCCAGGTACTCATATGTACAGGCCAGATTTATCTTCGCTCCGTGCTCGTTCACTCTCTTAATCAATAACTGGGCCCAAACAGGCCCAAACAATTTCAACCTTTCCAAGATAGACCCAATATGAAAGGCCAACAGCAATTTAAATTCTGCCATTGGGTATCTTGGTGAATGATCAACATGCACGTATTAGTATGGGATGTCCTCAGATGCTGGCCTTTGCATCCATTACCTCGTAATTACCTTAGGCCTGCATTTCCTCGCTTCAGGTCGCCAAAACCATCTTCTGCCACATGGTGTGAATAGCCTGCCGTTGCTTAACAATCCGACGCTGCCTGCCTGTTGCACATGCCATGCTCTGCTCGCATGAGCAAAACAGATTTCTGCCTTGAGTGCCGGACAAGTGCGCGGAATCTGGTTCGGATCTGGCTGCACGCACTTCCCGTATAGTCTGACCACACGGGACTGATGCCTGCCTCTTGAAGAGAAGATGTTGGGCTTACTCCGAGGAGTGTGTAGTAATCCTGGCTGACAATATGTATGCCAGATGCGAGGAGGTTTCACATCAAGTCATCAAGACCCGCTCGAAGAAGAAGGTACTGCTGACAGTCTCGCAAAATATGCAGCAGTTGGATCACTTGGCTCCACATGGCCTCACTTGTGGCTTTGTGCCCGGTCCCATTCCTGAACATAAATATTGGGTAAAACAACTTTGGTCACTTGGCTCGCTCGACTCCGAATGCGATGGGAACATCGACGTGCCTGGCTGCCACACCTCAAACACATGAACAAGATTGAGATCCACAAAACGCTCAAACAAAAAGAGCGCAGCGTTACACGGAAACGGGACCCAGCCTGGTCGGGGTGCTTCAGCAGATCGCATGCGCGTGCCATCTGCGGCACAGCATCGCGCTCATTCAATGCGCTGGCCATGCAAGATGCACTGTCCTGGGTTTACATCTATGACCTCATCGTCGTCGTCATCGTCCTCCCACAACACGCTCTCTCAAACACTCAGGTCATGAGGACGGTACGGCCTCTACAGGTGGCTTTGGTCCGTCCTGCCTGACCACAGCCGGCCAAATGCAACAGATTTCGCGATGTGCACAGCAGCGAGGTCTGTCGGACAGCCTTCGCGTGAACATAACGTCACCGTCTGGGCCCAGCGTCTTCTGCCATTCCTCCTGCACATTGCGGGCTGAGGCTGACGCCTGCTTCGGCTCTAGATGCCCTTTTGATCCCTTTTGTGATGCGACTGCACTTTGGGTGAACGCTCAGGACGATTGGTGAAGAAACTGGAATTCAATCTGCACCTGATCACAGGATTCGTGATGAACTGGTGTCTTGCCGATTCAATTGCCTTGAAAATGGGTCTATCTGCTTATCTGTGCCGGAGGAGTCGTACAAACCGTGTCGGAGAAAATCACCGCGCTGTCCCATCAAACTGTGCAATCAAGAATACGATAAATGTCGGCTTAACATCGTCCGTGACTTGTGCGCAGTCCGCTCTTCTGCAGGTGACAGGCCTACTTCTGCTACTGCGGCTGGCGAAGCATTGCAAAACTTGCGAGGGGGGAACATTGGCGCTCGCATCCGGCATACTTGGGTGAAGCTGCTAAGCTGCTACCTGCGAGTTAAAATCCCATCAGAGCCAATACCTTGGCGGCTTCGGTCCATGGCCCGCCTTGCTGTCCAACAGGTCGAGCTCCTCCTCGGTCAGGATCGGCTTTGCCACGATGCTCTTTATCTTCGTCAGGGCGCTGTAGAAATCATCCTTCGGATGCTGGCAGTACCGAAGCTTGAGACGAGGACAGCCTCGCTCACGCAATCCGTCCTTTTCATCTGTCATCCAATGGTGAATCATCTCGTTGATCTCCTTCTAAGGACCAAGAGCTCTCTCTACATCTTGTTGACAGCAGCTCCAACATGCGAACAGCAGGAGCCTCGCGAAGGTGATGCCCACAAAGTTTCAGTTCCCTACCTGGCACGAAACTCAGCGGATAGTCCTGGCAGCCAGTTTGCACCGGACAAAGACAAGTATCGATCCAAACCCGTATATCACTCTGCTCCCAGCAGTCCGGAAGTCCAAGAAGCTGCAAAGCTTCCTTCATCCCGTTGTAGCTGCGCGAGACCATCGCACTGATGGCCTCCACAGATGGAGTTCACCATAGCACGGCCGAAATGAAAAATTTGAAGCTGCAGCCACTGGGTTGAGGCACGCATGAGAAGTGTGGTTGCTTGCATGGTAGACCAACGTATCCGCATTTCACGCCACCAAACCGGATGGTCTAGGGCTAGGGTAGGAACATGTTCGCCTTTCAGCGAAAACTAATGTGCTCGCACTTCACGACAGGGAGCCGGAGGGTCTGGGGCTAGGGTTGGCTTCATTAGGTGCTCAGATATCTGAAATCGCCCCAAATTTGGGGATCCCGATTCATCGCACACCTTGAACACACGCCCTCATTTGCCGATCCACGTTGATCACATATCTTAAACACGACCCCACCTTTGGCTGTCGCCGTTGATCACATTTCTTCAACCCGCCCCCTCATTTGGCGATCGTTGTTGATCACATGTCTCAAACAATCCCCTTCCTGAGGCGATCCTTTGATCGCATATCCTAAACATGCCCATTCTTTAGGCGATCCCGGTTGATCGCATTCCTTAAGCCCGCCTCCTCGTTTGGTGATCCCGGTTCATGACATGTCCGCCCCCTCATTCGGCGATCCCGGCTGATCGCATTCCTTGAGCCTGCTCCCTCATCAGGCACACAGCTTGATCAGATCACATGTCTTAACCTCGCGCGATCCCGATTTGTCGCATTTCTTAAGCATGCCCCCTCACTTGACGATCCGGATTCGTCACACCCTCTCAGGTGGCGGTCCCGGTTGATCACAATTCTTAAACCCGCCCCCTCCTTTGGCGATCCAGGTTGATCACAGATCTTAAGAATCACATGTCCTCAACAGGCCCCATCCTTTGGCGAGCCCAACTCATCACATACTTTAGACACGCCGCTTAATTTGGCGATCCCGGTTTATCACGTGGCTTGAACTCGCCACCTCCTTTGGCGACCCCGATTCAGAACATGTATGAAGCACGCCCCTCATTTGGGGATACGAGAAGCAGAAAACCGTAAAGGAAAAGCAAGAACAAGGAGAAAACGACAAGCAAACACACACAGAAGTCAGAAAGAGCAGCCGAAAAGCGGAGGAGCACACGAGCAAAGCAAAAAAGCAGGAAAAGCAAAGAAGCAGCAACAGAACGGGAAAGCACAAGCAACGCGTAGAACACACAAAAACAAAAAAAAAAAACATCATTAAAAAAGGGCTACCACGCATGATGGCATGCTGCGGCCACCAGCATGGATCTTTCGTGTGGCGACCAATTGATCCCCTATAAACCCTTCCCGACAATGTTCGGTGTGTCATGTCACGTGGATGTGTCGAACATTTGTGTTTTGGATCGATGACTTCATGTCTGCAAACCCTTGCTGGATCGTCCGCAACATCCAACCGAGTACAACTAGCAGACTCCAAAGCACGGCTGCAAGAAAAAACAAACGCCTGCTTCACTCCTGCTTCTTTGTGAGGATGGCATGGAGCTGTGAAGGGGACCGGAATGTGACGGGCTGAACTATGGATTTCTGCACCTATCACCAGCCTACGGATGTGCCTACGGATGTGCGAGCAGAGGGCTACTTTTCAATAAAGTTCGGGTTTGGACCCAGACCTGCGGGGACTTGTGCCTGCTCACAGGTGTCGTGGTCCGGACGTGATGGATCAGCCGACAGCCGACTGGGCTCCGACCTCGGGCAAAGCGACAAAACATGCGCCGACGATAGAGGATTCGGCTGGAGACTCGAGGCTGCTGCTTCAAGCTGCCTCCGAAAGATAGTCCTTTCCTATCGTTCCTGTGCACTGATGGTCGCATTTGGCGCACACATAGACATATCCACAAAACGAGGCTGTTTGGCTAAGCCGTCCACTGCTGGGTGTCTTGGTCTGTACCACTGCCACTCTTCTTCCATGAAAATGTGGAGTTCCTGTCAACCAGTGTCTCTTCGTCTGTCCTGTGTCTGTATCTAACCATCTTCCCCTTTCGTGGGCAGGTCCTGCCAGCTTGTGCAGGATACCCGCTTCGTCCAGCAGACTCAGTGCAGGACACCGGAAAACAGCGAACGTCCGTTAAACGGGCACATACGCGCAGAGGCAGTGGAACTACGAAACCGTTCGCTTGTATGGATGCACCATCACTCTTTGAGCATGCACGCGCTCAGTCATGACACATGTGCTTGCTTTCCCGGCCAGACTGGGTTGCATTCTTCCCAGGCAGATGCAGAACATGGCTGCGACTAGGAAACGCAGGCTTTCCCTGATCTGTAAGATACTCGTGAGTGCAGGCTCACTTTTGCCGTAGTTTTGCTTGAGTGCCCACATCATGTAAGTTGAGCTGTGAGCTGGCCTGGTGCTTTCAGACGGTTGGTGACAGAATGGAAGAAAGGCCCTGTTGGTCACTGAGGATAGGCACGAAGCGCGTACTGGTCGCAACAGTTCGCAAGGTGAACAGCACGGGCAACAACACACACGCACACCACGAAGATGAAACAGACATGAGCTGACCAGCATCAAGGGTACCACCCTGTCAAGCGCTGTGATCGATGCAAACCCTCGCCTACAGGAAAGCATGTAAACAGTATAAACCCCAAAGTTCGATGCTGCTGTGCTCGATCTTGAATTGGCAGTTTTGCCAAGTTTGAATTGGTTGATGAATCAGGGGGCTCGCGGCGCAACTCTGGCCGCAGAAGCCCGGAAACGATTCAGGTGCAGCTTTGGGAAACCCCAGCATGCTCAGGTACAATTTCGGGGGATCGGTGAGGCACATCAGGCTGGAATAGTGCACGAGTGGAGCTTGGAGAATTCAGGAAACGAAGGCGACAATTCCAGGTGCGGCGACAGTTTACCTGCTACCTTTTGCAACAGGCTCCTGGAAGCCCTTCACAGCACGTACTGTGGAGCGAGCCAGTGTGTGTATCCAGCCGATTAACGGCACCTAGCTGTTGAAAGCCGTCACATGCAAAGTTGGTTGCAAGTCTCCATGGATGTCGGCAAAAAAGAACCATTCAATAGCCGACTCAAGAAGCAAACCGGTACTATTGACCAGCCTCCCAAGCGCTAGCCAAAAAAGGAAGTGGGCACGCTCTCACACATCAAACACAACACCATACATACCGAGCGCTTATACTCCAAACCAAGCCTGGCCCAATCCGAAACCACAAAGCGAAAAGCAGTTTCCGGAATGTTCCGGTTTGGTTTCAGCGATGTCATCTGCTGAATTGTGCGCGGGTTTTCTCAACGACACTCAGAAGGAAGATAGACTCGACAGCACGGATTGGCTCTCTTTGTCAACATAGCAGGCTGTCCGAACTCCGAATAAGCACGGATGTGGCTGTGCCAGAAAGAAAGGCCAGCTGCTCCAGACCAAAACCAGTCCACGAGATCAAAAGGAAAGCATAGCAATGGCACACGCGGCAGAGCATCCCAAAATGCAGCAATCTCTCCCAGCGGCCGGGTGTTGGCGGATGCCTGAACCCAGCCGCAATCGCACCCTCCAACCAGTTAACATGGATGCCCTCCCCATGTCTCGGACAATGCTCGAAAGTTATTTTTTTTGGTCTGAGGGATATGGGTGAACAGGCTCAAGCTTGCTTCGCGGAACCGGGTGCATACATGTACGGCGCACATTGTCCACGCCTCTCTGCTCGAAACGGCTGCTGAGATCTTCGAAGCATCATTTGCGGGCACTCAGAGCTTGGCTTGGCTCGAATCGAGCCCCATACTGCGGGCCGCTCTCCTGCGCTACCGCAACCTGCAAGCCTATGCGATCCGAGAAAGCCGCTTAGTCCTGGCAGCCTCCTCCTTTGACCTGACTGATGCGACTTCATGGCACTTCGACTCTTTCGCATCTCCAGGCCTGGCGATTGTAGCCTGTCGAGCCTGCTAGCTGTAGATGTGAAAGGCACGTGTTGTGTGCTATGAACTCTGTGGCAGCCTTCTCTCGCTCGTACTCCTCGCGTCTGGCCTCGTCCTGACATGTCAATGTGCAAGTGTTGTGCCGTTGATGCAGCTGCAGCTGCCACCGGCCCAACCTCAGCGGCTCTTCTGCGTGCGTCAGCAAGCTCCTTTGTGAAATCTGCGGGTTTTTGGCAAACACCCGATGGCGAAACTAATCTGCAGTTTCAGGCCATGCTGATCAGTGTTTTGCAAGCAGGCCTCCTGCTTCCTTGTGAAGCCATCGAAACTGTCCTCTGGCAATTGGCCGATTCAACAGATGATGCAGCATGAGCCAGAGGCCGCAATGCATAGCAGACTAGCAATGCAGCGCCGTTACAGCTCGGACTTTTCCGAATTGAGCCCAAGTTCAAGGCTCCTCAACTGCAACCCAGTGCCGTCAGCACAACACCATGCCAAACTGCAGCCAAAGAGGAAAGTGCTATGGAAGCTGCACGAACAATAGTGACAATAGTGCCTCAAATGGTCTGCACTCTTCCACCCTCGACTGGATCAACGGTGTCACGCTCCTGGGTACCCGAATCTTCCGGACCGGGCGGCTGCACCTGCAGGCGTCAAACAGCAAATTCATGGTCCCAGCTCGACCTTGCTGGATGCCGAGATTCCAATACTTGCTTCTCCAGAAAACTTTGAGTCGTGCTGCTGCTCCCAAGTCAACGGAATGCCCGCTTGGACGACTCAGAGTCTCGTCAGAAAGCCCAACCGTTGAGCCCAACCCAAACCCCGACACCAAATCCTCAGGGCGAAAGCAGAAACACCTGATGCTTGGTCTGGAAACTTGTCTGGCTTTCGGTATCCGTGGTTGCGGAACATCGAATGACACTCGCCAACCGTGCTGTCCGTAGAACAATCCTTCAGATGGATGGGCCATCAGAGGCACGACAGCAACATAGGGAAACATGTGAAGTGCCGCCTTGGGGGCCTTGGGGGCTTCCCGCGAGCCACTTGCCTTTCCGCTTTGCTTTGCCCGGATTTGGACGTCGCAAACGTCGTTCGTCGAGCCCGTGCCCTTTCGGAGGGGGCGGGGTGCCGACTGTGCCCCTCCACGGTCAACCACGGTCACGTGGGCATGGTGTCTGCCCTTTTGCACGGCCACAAGATAACCTTGAGGAGTCGATCTGCGAGGATAACCCTACGATATGAGTTGACCTGTGCTTTGTCCACCCTGTCTGCCAGCTGTTGCTGCCGTGGTGTATAGTACTCTCCAAGATTCGATCCATCTATCTTAGCTCGAAGTCGCATCCTGGAATCGAGGACAGGCCGGTTTTACAGTTTCCAGCGCTAGGAACTGTGAACTGAGATAGCCCCTGCAAACATGTTAACGCTGAGAAAACTTCACCAAGCGGCTGCCTTAAGTCTGGACGAGAAAGCCATTGTGGCGGCCGACCGAACTGACCGCTACCTAACTTGAGACCCTATCTCGACAGCAGATGCCGAGAATCGTATCCAATTATGTCGCTTCCGCTGAATTGATGACATTCATGAACCGTGTCGGCAGAATCCCGGCAAATCGAAGGTGTCAAGAGCAAAATGGCTCGGGCGAAACTTCGCAACCTGTGCTGGGTCAGGTAAGCAAGCTGGCAAGCCTGAAAAGCTCACTGGTTGGGGACGAAGCCATGCGAACTGTGCATGGTTCAGTGTCGAGCGGAACCTGCACCTTGTCTCTGCATGCTGCAGCTCCCCAGTTTGAGAGGCGATGGACATAGTAAAGATGCGTCACATGGGTGGCCACGCTTCTGCTAACTCCACAGACAACCTAAACATGAACGTCACAAAATAAGGGCAAACCCATGGCTCTGGAGTGCTTTGTACAGAAAAAAGAGGTGGTAAATCACTCGGTGATCACACCCCGAACATAGCTTCACTTCTAACGCTGGCGTGGCCCACGTCCACGGCCAACTGGCAAGTCAACCTTGGAGATCATGGAGAGACAACTTCCACAGCTGGAAGAGAGTAGTCTTGGCGCCAAGCAGGCTGCAGACCTGCTGCATCTGGCGTGGTGCTTCTCGCAGCCTGCGAGATGTTACCACCGAATGCACACATCACGCTCCAGCAAAGAGTCATGTCCACGTTTCCTGTAGCTCACGCAGGCGAATTATATAAGCTTTTTCCGGTTGGATTTTGGCCACGGAGCTGGATTTTAACAAAGAGGCAACAAAAGCTAGCCCGGTGTTCCTGATGAAACACATCAGGAAGCTGCACGTGCCAGGTCCTGCCCCCACAATTCAACACCCTGCCCACCCGCTCTCGACGTCGAGGAGCTCGGAGACATGCCTAAACCTAGACCAAAAGATCGGCATGAACCGGGGCCATGAGAACCACTGGTGAAATGAATATGTAGATCGCAGACCTTAAGCAGTTCGCCTGAACATGCCTGAAATGTTGCAAAGCGAGCAAAAATGGCTTTCGAAAGGCTCAAGGGGGCTCTGTAAGTTATAAGTACTCCGGGCAACGTGCTACGAAGGTCGCAGCGCGTGCTACGAACGACAACAACAACGACGAGAAAAACAATAAGTGTAATTCTACCTACGATTTGCTATTTACTACGACTATCTCTTCAACAGCAACAACTACTACGGGGACGGCTGCTGCTACCAGTACTACTGCTACTGCAACGAGTATTGCTCGAGGTAAAGATGTCAGAAGATGCAGTATCTCGTTGACATTTAAAGCCAGTGGCAATGGCAATTCTGGTCGTGGTGGTGGTGGTGGTGGTGCTGCTGCTGCTCATCATGCTCGGGAGGCGTGCCTTGTTTTGCTTTGATTACTGTGTTGATGTGGTTGTAGTCGGGAGGCTTACATCCACACCCCTGGTTACCAAGCACGTGAAAGGAAGAGCTGGGCACGAGGCCTTAATTTAGGCCAGGATTTGAGGGCAGAAGAGCCAAGAAGCTACCACCTGTCGCTGCTGCTGCCGCTCCTGCTCCTCCTTTTCTCCTCCTTCTCCTCATCCTCCTCCTACTACTGCTGCTACTACTGCTGCTGCTACTGCTACTACTGCTACTACTACCTACTACTACTGCTACTACTACTGCTACTACTACTGCTACTACTACTACTACCACCACGACGACGACTACT